AATACAGGTATAATGCTGGCCTCCTCAGCATCTTGCAGCAATGAGTTCCACAAGTTAAGTGGCAGAGTAGTGATAAGTGGTATAACAGAAAGGCACTCCCTTTTTTTAACTGAAGTTGGCTGCCTGATAAAATACAGGAACTAATGTGCATAGAATTAAATGTCAGCATCATAAATTATAGTCTCATATTCATTTTTTATAGCATTCACATCCCTTCTATCATATTCCCATTAAGTTACCTCTTTTTCTAAGCTGAAAATCCTAGATTTCTCACTCTCACTCTGTGTGGAACCAGTTTTGTAATCCTGAACATCTTTGCTGCCATTTTCTATAGCTTTTGTAAGCATATACATTTTGACATGGATGACCAGAACTGCACACAGTAGTTGAGATGTGGATGCACCATGGGTTTGTATAATGATGCTTTGTGTTTTATTGTCAATAGTTAATGATTCCTCTTTCCCTCCCCCACCATTTTTGACCATCTCTGCATATTGAACCAAAGTTTTTAGCAAGTTATCTGCAATGATTCATGATCTCTCATGAGTGGAAATGGCTAATTAAGATCCCATCATTGTGTGTGTGTACAGTTAGAATTGTTTTCCCCCATGAGCCTTACTTCGTAATTTTCAAAATTGAATTTCATCTACCACTATACTGTTCACTCATACAGTTTTTTGAAATCTTTTTATATGACACTAAAATTCTTCACTAACAAGTTTCAATTTCACTAAACAAAATTATTTTGCATAACATGCAGGCTTTTTTGCCACCTCCCTATTGGGATATCCTCTTCTTGTTCCACCTCCCTATTTACTGAATTTTCCAGGTCACTTATGGACATAGGCTGCAGCACAAATCTTTCAGGAAGCCCACTACTTACCTGGCTCCATTGTGAAAAATGGCCAATTGTCATTTTTGTGTGTGTCTCTTTTTTCAATCCACAAGAGGATCTTTCCTCTGTTCCCATGACAACTCAGTTTCTTTGAAAATTTGAAAATTCAAATACAGTATTATCAACTGGATGTCACTTATCAACATGATTGTGACACCCCCAAGAATTCCAACACATTGGTGGGATAAGATCCCTTTAAAAAACTTATGTTGTCTCCCTTAGACTCATCTGCTGTTCCATGGCTGTTGTCACCAGTCTGTTGTTCCACGGCTTACCTCCAGCACTTTTTTACAGACTGATGTTACATGGGCAACCACTCAATCCTTTGGCAGGAAGACTGATTTTAGAGAGGGGTTACATACTGTCACTTACACTTCTGCAATTTTGTATTTGAGTCACTTAAGATCTTGAGAAAATACCACCTGTTACTTCTCACTCTACAATTTATGAGTATCTTCTAATATCTCATTTATTATCATCTCAGTTTGAGCCAGTACTTTATATTTATCACATAAAAACAATGTATCTGATGTGGGAATCTCCTCAACATCATCTTGTACAAAATATTCATTTAGTGTCACTGCTGCTGTCTTTATCTACCCTGAGTCCACCTTTATACCCTGGTCATCTAAGGGCCCCACCAACTCTCCGGCAGGCTTCCCGGTTTTGAGGTACTCATATATATAAAAATAGGAAAGAAGTGTATATATAAAGACATACTATGACCTTTTATGTCTCTGGCAAAATAGTCTTCAAATTTTTTTGGCTGTCCTTAGCATGGTTTTACACTTAGGTTGCCAGGGTTTCAGCAATTTTCTATTTTCCTCAGCTTCAGTTATAAATCTCATTATGGTAGGCACTGTACAAACACTGAGCTTCATATAAAAGAAGTCAAACGATGGGTGCTACCACTATACAAGATGATATTTGTTTTACTAAAGAACTCCAAAAACAAACAAAAAAGAAAAACTCTCTCTAGTTGCAGACAAAAAAAATTGTGAGAAGTTTATAATGATCTCAGTAAAGACTGTATTTGAGTTTTTTTCCTTGAAATATCCAGGCCAGTTTTTAACTACTTGTGTTCTAAATACTACATAGAATAAGGAGTAAATCTGGAATCAGCACAGACTGCTGCATTATTCTGCATAAATCAGACTTCCAGGGTCTTAATTGAGTGTCTAGTACATCTTCAGATATGCCTTCAAAATCTGCTAAGACAGGCTACAGCTATAAATGAACTCCTAAGAGTGCCAGTGAAAATTAATATGGATCATGCAATAAAATAAAAAACAGCAGAGTCAGAAAGACTGAAAACTTTCCATTTTCCTGTGGGCTCAAGAATAAAAATAATCAGGTTGAACATTTCACCCTGAATACACAAGATAATTTCCTGGCAATAGAGCATATAGAGCAGCAAACTGCTTTTGAGGTTGATTAAAGACATATTGCTTATTGTATCACAAACACAATTTTTTAGTCTACTGAACCCGTCAATGTGCTACTGATAATTTAAATCTGAGTGTTAGGAATAAAAGGGAAACCTTATTTGCAAAAATAATCTTCCTCAGACAATACTTAAGAACATTTCCATGTTTCCGCTAAATCACAGGTAAACAACTGCAGTAGGAAAGATAAATAAGTAATCTGATAGTTTCTTGAAATATAGAGTATATATCTTCTTTCTCTCCCTCTTAAACAAGAATTTTCATAGCAATTGTGTAATATTGTATTTAGGTGATTAATCCAGCAGCAGCATTTTACTAATATAGCTGACACAAGCTCTATAGGCAGGGGACAAAAAAGTGACATCTATAATATCTCTCTCAACATGCTGATTTTAGCATCATATACTTGGTAATATTCTTAGCTCCTCTTGCTAATGGCTGAAATTATTTTCTTTATTTTGCTGATAACCCCATAACTATAGTTCATAAAGGACAACTGCTGAAGAAAATACTCCTTATATTTTATCACAGTGAATTTAGGAGGGGATTGGCACCATAGAAATGGAAATCTTTCATTTCTTCACAATGTGGGCAGTAGCTTTGGACAATCCCTACTTACATCATCCCAACGTGTGCATTTTCAGCTCTAAAAAGTTGTTGTTTTTTTCTTTATGTCGATTTTTTCCTCAGTTAACTGTCCTCCTGACCATTTTAACCAGAGCTTTAATTTGGATTGTTCATTTCTTAGACCAGTTCCTAAAAGAGAGGCCTATCAATTAATTTCCAATAAAAGCAGCTGAGTGTCAGATAACAGCAGTGACTGTGTTTCTGCTATTTAGATAAGGAGTGAAAGTTTTCATGTGGCACTACCAATTTCCTGAATGTCACATATCCATCAGGATTTTTTTTATAACACTATTATTTTTCTAGACTTCTTCATTGTACAAGTTTTGCTTTTTCTCACTTCACCTTTCACTATGTAATTAATGGACTCTAAAAATCAAATGGATATAGGGCCAGGAAAGCATACTGCCTCTGAAGCAAAAGCTGTTCTTCTAAAATAAAAGGAATAAGAGGAGCCTTACTGCAATGGCTGTGTACAGCAAACAACAATCAGAGTAATAAACTAAGTTTTCAGCCCTGGAGACTCTTGTTATTGGGCATACTGATTATCCTACAAGAAAGTAGCTACTAATTATGGCACTGGGGACAGGCTACATATCTTAAGGGAAAGAAATGCATCATCAATAGAGATTAGTGAAATATTTTTAGCAAATATGAAGTTCAGTATCAGAGGGCTTATCTGTAGCACAGTAATCAGGTCATTCTTAGGTGCTTCCAAACCACTGCATACTTCAAACTCAGAAATACAGCAGGGAGATACTCAGGTATTAAATTACAATTATGATATTCTATTTCGCCCTAGTCATTAAGATATTTTGCCTCTGTCATAGAATTAGCACAAATTTCTGCAAAAGTGGCAAAGCAGCATTTTCTCATGCTGTGACAGATGTTTCTTGTAGGCCCTGAAAGATACTCAACAAAGCTGTCTGTCAGGGAAATATATATAAACACACACACTAGCCTGAACTGAGTTATTTTTCCCTTCATTTTTCAATAACTTTCAAATTCATTTTAGCTATGTCAGGTTGGACCACTGAATGATGGTGGACCCTAATTCACTAGTCACTTTTCAAAATACAAACCATCTTTCTTTACATGCTTTGGAATTTCTAGACAGGTTTTTAAAGAGGAGAGAGGAAGCCCATAGCAAAGATTTATGAAGCGCTCTTCTTCAGGCAATAACACTAAACATTCTATGAATGCAAAAGATGTTCTTTCCTACATTTTGCCCTCCATAAAGTGGCTGAGGACTTATATCATTTCCTCATAAAAATCTGTATACATTTTTGTGGGGAGGGTTCTATTCACAAAGCATGAACCACTTTAAACCAACACTTCCTCAGATTAAAGTACCCCCTTACCGGACAGAGGAGAAGAAATAATTGAAGCAAGGCAAGGCAAGAAGAAAAGGAGCACAGCTACATACATTTTTAAATAGGGATACAAGTCTAACAGTACATTCCTCAACATGCTTCTTTTAAGCAAGCATAAATTAAATCATCATGGAGGATTTTGTTCCTAAATTAGATAAACAAGGTAAGGGTAATTAATAGAAAAATGGGTTAATTTACAGCTTGGGACCTAAAAGAAAATATTTAGCAGCAGATATTTGTGCTGTGGTGATTTTTACCTGTTATTTTATATATAAAGCCCCCTCCTGCAAATGCATTCTTGGAGCTGAATAATCAGTATTTCCATAATCTGTTCCCTATGGAAAGTTAAAGTACAATCTCTTGTGTTTAGGTTTTACATGCATACACATTTTGTAGAATTCTTCCAGCTGCCCAATGCTTATTTGACATTTTTAGTGCAAATGCAATACAAGTCTGTTTATGTAGAATCACAATAATCTTGTATGGGTAGGGCAATAGATAAAATGACCTAACGTGTCAAATTCCATGTCTCATTTCCAAGACTGGGTCCATCAATAGATACAACTCTACAAATATTTAAACATAGTAACTGTATTGCTCTTAGATACATGAATAAAAAGCAAGTGACAAGAGGTTTTTTAGTCATGTGAAATTTTTAAATACCTCATCTTCCGCCTGATTTAGCCCCCTTTTTAGGTCTTCCACACGAATTCTCAGCTGCTTAACCTCAGTCTCATGTTGTTCAACTATCTTGTTTGTATGCATCAGTTCTGCCACTTTATCTTGATACTGCTTGTTTAGCTTGTTGTAAGCCTGCTGCAGATCAAGGATCTCCTTTTAAAGAGAGGGGAAAAAAGGCAGTTAAACACTGTATCATGTCTACAGCTATACCAGCAAGTCCCCTGTAGTGTGAACCAGCAAAAGCCATTTTTTATCAGTATAACTGTGTCTAAACTAGGTCATTTGCAAGCATAATAAGGCCAAAGAAACATCTACCACTATGCCAATTTTAATATAATAGCAAAAGTTATTAGTGTATACCAGGCATAAGACACATTCAGGAGCTGCTGTACGTTAAAAAAAACAAAAACCTTCCTAAATGAAGCTTTCTATAGGTATGACCACTACCAGACTGTCATATAAAAAGACCAGCGTGTTCCACTTATTTTTATTCAGACAGGCAGAATATTGTATTTCTGGAGTAAAATTTAAAATGCAGGGACCTATTCAGAACATCTTACAAAAAATGTAGTTGCAGATCTAAGCTGTTGTAAAGTGTTGAAACTGTAAAAATTATAACCAGTAGAATATCTGTCCCAAGGCGTTTTATCACAGCATTGTGGCCATGTCATCCTACTACTGAAGAAGAAAACGTCCCCTCAGTGGCATGGTGCATATTATACTGTAGCCATAAAAAATGTGAGGGGTATTTCTGTTTGTGTCTGAGAAATAGTGCTCTGAAAATTAAGAGATATTTTACCACGAAACACAGTTGTTGTTACAGGTAATCAAGAGAAGATTCCAAATTACCAAAATCCTTGTGGTGACCATTTCAAGGCAGAGGAAACAAATATTAAAATAAATGTGAATCAGTTTCTGGAACAATGGAATAATAATAGCAACAACAACAACAATGATAACAATATACTGCACATAACTGTTTTCTCTTGCCAACTTTTATATAAGTACATTATGTACTTTCATGATTCATTAACCCCTCCCGTTTGTGCTAAGGGAGTGCTTGTTTGGCCATAAATCTGGAACATGTACAAAGCAAGATGAGAGTGAAGTAAAAAAAAAGTGTTACCTTTGAAAGAAACAATATGCATATGAGAGTTAGTTCCCAACAAATGTTATTTCTATTAAGCAACAGGTAATGTTGTTGATAGAAACTGTCAGGCCATGTGACCTGCTTCACATTCATAGGGCAAGCTCTCCAGAGTGGTACATAGGGCCCTGGGAACTTGCTCTGCAGCACTTGCCAGCAAAGGGAGCTGGAGAGCTGCTGGCAGGGGCTATCAGCCCCTCTTCCACACCTTCATCTGTGCTGCCTTGTAGAGTTACCTTGCAGGAAGGGGAGTGAGGGGAGAGAGCAGCCTAACCTGGGATGCTGGAGGACCATATACTATCACCCTACATGTAACATGTCACATATTCAAATTAAAGTGCAGCACAAATAAGCTGAAAAGATATTCTATTTTTTACAAGCAACACCTTTGTGGCTGGATGACCATCTCTGTGGCTTGCTATCAAGTGGTAAATTGCTTAAATGTGTGGCATGTTACAATGTATTGCTCTATTAAAAGATTAATTGCATTTCAAATGTAACATCTATCAGGAACCTTTCCTTATGAACAACTTAGCATGAATTTGTCCTCTCTCTGGCTCCATATCTCTCTTTCCATTGCACTAAAGTCAGTTTAAACCCAAACAGAAACTCTATTCTGAATACATCAAACATAAGCACACTTCAAGCTAATGCAAGTTGACTGATATTGTAGTTAAGTGCTGTGTCTTTTCTTTGGAAAACTTAGTAGATGTTAGACAGCCATAATTAAAAAATGATATTTTCTTTGTTGCCTAATTAGGCCATCTCATTTCCCTTTTTGAATCCTTTCATTCTCTGGATCTTAAAGTGGCACAATTTTCTTTCTACAATGCTGGAAAGCAGGGGAAATTTAATCTATCCACATTCAGACTTATTGTGGTGCCAGAGATGAAAAGAGATCTCCCTTTCATGTACATGAATCCTCCAAGTCTTATAGTGGTTCTTTTAAGATCTGTTACCTTGTGTTCCCTCTCACAAAATTCCTTTGCTAAATTTGGTGAATAACATTACTTTTTAGAGCTCAGCTAATGAGTCTGTTCTTATGACATAAATGTTACAGTCCATTCTCAGGAGTCCTGAGTTGCATGTACCATAACCTGCTGTCCCTAGCTGATACTTTAAAAAGTTGCCTTCACCTTTATCTCAGATATCTGAAAGCACAGATTTCCAACTTGTGTACAGATGGAACTGGAAGCCATCCAAAGGCTGGTGTGTGTACAAAATGCCAAATAGCAAATGACAAGAATCTAGCATAAGAAGTTAATTATCAACTAAATGTTCTTGTTGGAAATTCTATTCACTTAACTTCTTCCAATAAATCCTTGAATGTAAAAATAAGATTGTGTCCTAAGAAGTCTTTTTCTTTCCATTACCCATATATATAAACGGATGTATAAACTAATTTTCCCTAACTGAAATTAGATTACACAGGTACCAGCTTGTAGGATACTGTTTATAGCAATTTAAAGCAATCTATTCCATTCTGTAGACCACACAAAATGACTTGAGAATGCTGACCAGCTGAGATTGCTTGCTTCTGTTTTTGCAAGTGAGCCATAGATATATTTTTATTAGATCTTTATGAACTGCAAAGTGACAAAATGTATTCGAAGACCTAAAAACCATTTCCAGAGAACCATCAGTTCCCGGAATAGTTGAAAATAGTATTTTTCTTATTGGGGTTTGTCACGGGGGCACTTGGGTGCCCCGTTCCTGAGTAAGGATTGGAGGACCTGCCAATCTTCAGGGCAGCTCAGCTGTGGGTTGTGGGAGTAACCAGGTTGGCCATGTGACCGGAAGGGGGCAGGGCTGGGCCCTTATAAACAGCTAGGCCGGAGCCTGGCTGGCAGTTCCCTTCTGGCAGCCTGCGTGTAAGAGCTCTGCGGGAGAGCTAGACTGAGCAGTGCCACTTGGCACATAGAGGGCTGCATTATGGTGCAGGCGGAGAGAAGCCTGACCAGAAGGCTTTGGCCAGAGAGCCAGGACGGCCAGGACTTGAGGTAGAAGCCGGTAGGCTGATTGTGTTGTTATAGCCGGTGGGCTTATGATTTTGGTTGCAGCCGGTTGGCTTATGATTCAGTTGTGTATATCATCTGGAGGACCGAGTGAGGCTGTAGGGGTGTGAGGAGGCCTCACAGGAGATCCCCAGTAGTCTGGGGATTCCTGGGTGCCCTGTGCGGGCACCGAGCAGTGCCGGGAAGGTGCAGCAGCTTGGCACCAGAGTGGTGCGGGGTGTGGGATTGAGACCCCGGCCCAAGAGGGCAGTAGTCGGCCCAGTGAGGGCCTAGGACCCTGAGAAGGGTCAGGGGCCAGGCACGGCTGCATGCCACCTGAGCCCCAGCGCCGGGAAGCCTGAGCCAGGGCTGGCACGTAGGCTCGGCGGGAGCCGAGAGGCTCGGAGGGAGCCAAGGGCGCGCGCAGCGTGGAGCAGGCCCCAGCAAGGGCAGGCGCACAAGAGGTGCGTGGCATAGGGACCCTGAG